AGTACCACCACTAATGCTTTCTGACACTAGGTAGTACCATCGCCTAGCACCCTGTCACTGGGTTGTACCACCACCTGATAGCCTCGGAGACTGAATCTGGGTGGTACCACCACCCAGATCGATGATACCACCGTTGACATAGTCTCGGAGACTGTGCCACGACGGTGCACCTGTTGGGTCATTGTTTGGGCCTTTCATTGGGCCCAACTAGCCCCTAATTGGGTTGGCCCAATTCCAATCTCAATTATGTGCTAACTATGAATTCTAAGGCATACACTAAGCAAATCCGATCAAGTTAATCATGGTTTCTTTCGGCGAGCTTCTAGTGATCTTCCGGCAAACTTCCGACAATCTCTCAGTAGTTGCACCGTCGGTAAGCTCTTGGACTTCACGATGATCTTCTTGGTGAGTTCTAACGAGCTTTTTCGGTAAGCTCCTAGACTTCTCGGTCAATTCCGGTAGAACTTCTGACGAACTCTCGAACTTACAACGAAATCTCGTTCTTGACTCCGGGACTTCATTTTACTTTATGCCTTGATCACTATCATAGTTAATCCTGCATAAATAAAACCTACTTCGATCTAGACAATTATTACAAAGCTTAAATCATATTGTCTGGTATGTCATTGGTTCTTCGATGCTTCATTCGATTCTTTGACACATCATTCTTTCTTGCGGCTAGCTGACCTACGCAACTCCGATTTTCTTGGCGTAATTTCCACTCTTCTTGGTCCAATGCCTGAACTCATGTCCCGAAGCCTTCTGCCGATACGTCGATCGATCCTTTGGCTCGACGTCCAATCTTTTGACATATTTTTCTCCGTCCCAACATGATTCTTCCTGCTTTAATCGTCTCTTTCTGATCGAAGCTTTCTGCATCACTCAAAACGCAAATCAAATCATAAACACTATCAATTAATTTCATATTAATATTCAACAATGATTGATCTCGTGGCTAAAAATTTTTCTAGATAAACATCGCTGCCATTTGATTTAAGATGTCATGGTACCTCCTGTCATTAGGATCTTTTGTTTCATAAAACAAATTATTGTTACAATCTCATACCTTTTAGGAAATCATTTTCCAAGAAATCATTTTCCAAGAACGTGACATATTGTGATTCCATTTTAGTTACACCACTTGCCTCTTATTCATCGATGAAAACATATCATTTGGAATATTCATAATATCTTATAAAGACATATTTCTCTCCTCTCATCCTAATTTATCAAATTTATGAGATGAATCATAAATATAAGCTGCAACCCCAGGGTTATATGGATTACTTAGATTGGGTTTTTAGATTATTCATAATTCATAAGGAGTAGTCTAGAGGTTACTCTATTAAGTACATAAGCAATGGTATTTAATGCATCTCTCCAAAATTAGATGGGAAGATTTGCTTGAGCAATCATGGACCGAATCATTTCCAATAAAGTTTTGTTTCCTCTCTCCACGATATTATTTTGCTATGGAGTTCCTGAAATGGTTAACTATCAATCTTGTCTTTTTCATTACAAAACACTTCAAATTGTGCTAATAAATACTTGCAACCATGGTCAGTTCTTAGAACTTTAATAATCATATTCAATTGATTCTCAACTAGACTAACATATCATTTAAAGCATTTTAATACCTCACTTTTTAAAAATCAAATAAACATGACAATATCACATGTATGTATAAATGTGATAAAATATAAAGCCCTATGCCTAACCTTCACATTTACTGGACAACAAATGCCAGAATATATTAATTGTAATGGAAAATTAGCTCTTGTTCCTTTATCGAATGGTTTTCTAGTTATTTTTCTTGCTAGGCAATGCTCACAAGTCAACAAATCAATAGACCTTCTTAGCTAATATGTCTCATCTTTCTTAGCTAATATAACCCAATCAAGCATTCTATACTTTTTGTATCAACAAAATTATTTAAGAAGTAGTTATAGAAAACAACTATTACTAGATTTATTAATTATATTATAGTTTATATCTAGTATTATAAAGCCATCCTCAGGATAACCAAAACTATAATAACAAGTTGTAGAAAATATATCAATATCACTACCATAAAAATTCAATTTTATTCCTAACTTACGAAGAACTAGAACAAAAATCAAGTTTCGATGCATATATGAAACGTACAACACATCATATAGGAAGAGTGTGACAACCCCGCAATTCTAATTTGCAAGTGTTGATTCTCATAATTGTTTACTTTGAAGTTATTTTCTATAAAAACCTACTTCGATATAGGACTCATCCATCGATACTACATGGACGCTTCTTGATCTCTAGTTTCATGATTTATTGCACATGACTCTACGATCCAAATCGGACGAGATTTGGTCGGCATGAAATAGCTGAAAACATAAATGAAATTAGATTCATATATACGTGAAGGTACCTCTTTTTGCTCAGCGTACTCATGATCAAAAAGCCATCACTGGATGACCTTTTTCAGTGCCTGGCCTTCTCCCTTACCCTTCTCTGAACGCTTTTACTTGCGTTTTTTTAGTAGGCCCATTTCTGTTCAACTGATGTAGTAGCCTCTGTGTGCTCTTCTTCGAGCTCTAAATGACATGCTATGTCCCCAAGGAACCTAACACTGTTATTAATGCATCATATTTACAGCCTTCTGTTCATCATATTTAGGCAAGGATCAAACGATGGATTCAACCTTCTGTTCATCTGTTAAAGTGTGGCCTGCTGGCTTCAACTCTCTTTATCATATTTGACATTTCGCTAAGATGTTGCCTCATCAACTTGTTAGGGCGCTTTTTATAGGTGTCAAACTTGATTGTTAGCCTTCTCAGCTTTTTATAGTGTAAAAGTACCACCAAACTTCTCTTTTAAGGCTTCTTGCCATATTCCATGGTGTTCAAACTCACACATAATATCATCTTAAATGCTGCTTACCAACGTGATGCGAGTCATGCTATTATTTCTTTTCCAGGTCTAATAAACATCATTATTCAGCTTATACTGAGCAGTTTCACCTTTTTCAGGTTCAGTCATGGTATGATAGAGAGTTTCCAGAACTTGGAGTTCCTCAAGAACATACTGAACTTTAGTGCCAAATCTCATAATTACCACCATTCAGTTTCTCTCCCTCATTAAGTTCAACCGCAATATTTTTTAATGTTGATGCCATAAAGTTATGTTACACAGAGAAACACATCAGATGCTACTAATATTATCATGTGAACACACATTTATTTTGTTCCTATATTTCATATTAAATTAATAAAATTAGCACAAAAAACTTCTCACTTTTAGGATTTATATTATCCTAGTGCAACATAAGAACTATTACAATGCCTCAAATGCATATATGTATATAAACTGATAAATAAAGAAGTCAACAAAAAAAAATCTCAATGATTTCACTAGGATTTATATTATTAAACTCTCCTACTAAATATTTCATTCCACAAGTTCATTTGGGGTGTTCTTTATATCATCTGAAAGCTCTCACGAAGTACTCTTGATGAACATAAGTCTTAAGAACAAAATAAAACTTTATTCAGGGGAAATTCAAACTTAAAGTCAACTGTTCATCATAGAAAATCTTTTTTAAAAAAAATCCAAATTTACACTTAAAATGATCACGCAGACTATCACATAAATTCAGATCAATTTTTATGCACAATATTCTTTCATATTGATAGCATACTTCATCAACTCTAATTCATGCTAACAAGTTTACAACAAATCAGGCTAAATATAAACTAACCCAAAAAAATTGAGAAGCAATACAAATCATGATCTGATACTAATGTTGAAAAATAAATAAATGAACTTTTATATACATTCTCTTTAAGGAGTCTATGTCGCAAGAAGTGTCGAGTCACTAACTATTTGGATCGATATTGTAGATTCGGAGTATAATCACCGATAGGAAAAACACTCTCTCTTTTACGACATAAATGTCTTAAAACACAAATTCAAGAATACTCCTCTATTGAGATTCTTTGTGTAAGAATAAGAATGAGAATTAGAATAATTTTGCAATTCTCTCAACCCCCATATATAGGGTTCTTGGCATGAAGAGGTTACATTATTATAATTTTTCCTCATGAGTTATGATCATCCATTTGAGATTTAACCTTTTGGAACTCATCTAATGAAGGAAGAGAATTATTCTATATAACCCCTATAATAAAGAATAATTGTAACTTTTCCATTACTTGGTGAGTGTAATGCCTCCAATGAATAAGGGTAAGGAGTTACTTGGTGAGAATTCATTCTTTGTAACTCCTCCATTTGAGGATTCAATCACTATTTGTGGTTGACCAAATTAATTCGACCCATTATGAGTGGACTGATTCATTCTGAACTATCCTCCTTTCAAATTCATTTCTGGTTTTGACCATGAAGAGTCATTCTTTTCCAAATGGAGGTGGGGAAATACTTTACTCATTATTGAATTGGTGTATACTGGTGGCGTTGTTTGATGTTCTTATAATTTTGTTCATTTAGATTGTGCAACCATCAACATTTATGTGGGTCACTAGGTAGACATGATGTAGAATTTTCTTAGGTATCCTCTCCAAAAGGCTTTTTTTTTGTTTCAATTTTTCAGCGTATTCATCGTGATCAAGCTGTTACCAAACATCAGCTGGACCCAAGAACATTTATTTTCTTTTTTTAATAATAATAAATTTTAGATTCGTGGCAATAAATAAAAGCTTGATTAGAAACGCAAGAGAGAAAGATCCTAATTAATTTAACGAAGTATAAGGAGGATCACCAAAGGAACATGAATATAATACTAACAAAGAAAATATGAGATATCAATAAAAAGGAGACGCATTCGTATCTTGATTTTTACAAGTGGTGTCTTTTCTCCTGTTTTGCCTTTAATGGCTGGCTGCACTCTCCAAGGAGGGAGAGGGCGAACGACGGCCATAAATATATAAATATATATATATATATATATATATATATATATAAAGATTAAACCTTAATTTTAAATTTATTAATAAAATAAAATTATTAAGTTATCCCTAATTAAAATTAGGGAATTACAGATATCATTTGGCCATCCTAACACCTCTTGTACCTCATTTGATATGGACCATAAATGCAGATGGTATGAGCCAATATTGAATTTTGCTTAGGTGAAAGACTTGCACTAGGGTAGAATTAGATTGTACTATACGCAGGCAGGTACAGTACTGCTTTCCTTTGTGGTGGGAATCGAAAGAGAAAGAATAGATAAGCACAAGTCAAGGGCAGTGCTGGTTGTTGCCCGGTCCGCCATAGTAAAAATAGGTGCCCCAGTCGGCGTTGGAGAAGCTCTTGATGTCGTAGCATTTGGAGTTCTCGGCCATGGTGGCGATGGCCCGAGCGGTGGTCAAGCTGTTGTCGGAGTCGACGACCTCCAGGTTGCGGAAGTAGCTCGCCCTCCCGAACCCTTCCTCCGCGAACCGCCCCGATCCCATCTGCGTCGAGGTGTGCTCCCCGTGTGTCCTCGTGTTCACCACCTCCCCTCCCCACTCCACCATGGTGGCCCGGTCCGACAGATGCGTGAACAGCGCCGCCGGCCAGTAGCCTACCAGCATGCTGCTGTCGCCCAGACTCATCCACCAGTTTCCTGCTATCGGATCCTGAAACCAACATCATGATCATCGATCACCGAGAACTCTCTCTCTCTCTCTCTCTCTCTCTATATATATATATATATATATATATATATATATATATATATATATATATATATTCCTTTGGATGGAGGGAAGGGATACCGTACGTGGAGCTGCATGCATGTGAAAATGTGATGTTTGGCACGCTTACCTTCCATATGAGAATGGTGATGTCATATTGGCTGCTCCCCGAGGACGATACCGGCGATATGGCTGCTCCGATGGCGATCCTGTTGTTCGTCTGTATAAATCCCGAGCAAAGAAGATTGTAGCAACCTGTTGCTTGATACGCGTCACTCTGTTGCATCGTAAGAAATGAAGATTATGATGATTGATTTTGGTGCGGATAGCATCGTCAAATTGTGTAAGGTTGATTGTCAGCAAGTGGAGGAAAGGATGCGTTGATCTCACCGTCCAGTACGTAAACAGCCTCGGTCTGCTGTCTCCATAGAGCTCCGGGCTGACCTGACTAGAAAGAAGTATAAAGCTTCAGATAACCATTTAGAGGTGCACTTTCACTTTGTTGATATCATCAAAGAAGATTGCTTATTTTAACAGGGCTATATGCATGATTCATGAGAAAAGGAAAATTAGGCAGTTTAATAGGACTTGCACTGATTAAACTTTAGAACAAATATCACAGCCATCACGAATTTCCAAAAAAAAAAAAAAATCTTTTTTTGGACTTTCCCCCAGAAGGTGCTCTTTTTCATATTTTCCAAAGACCCCTTCATATACCATAATTCTTAAAATATTCCCCTCACAAGATAATCAAATAAGTACCTATTTGGTGCAACCTATGAACCGATCAATATGGTCAACTTGTCCAATTCTTTAATTATAGTATTTTGGTATATATATCAATAATTTTATATGTTTATTTAAAATTACTATAACGATATATAAGTCTTTCTGTTTGATTGTTCTGTTCCTAAACTAATAAAGTTATACATTTAAACCCTTTTTTAGATGAGTCGATTTTTATTGAGTTTTGAGTCCATTTGTCTTGTTTCTAAAATGGCTTATATGGAGTGGACCGTTTCGTTTCATCTATGGATTGAGAAACTATGTGTTTTCGTCGAGAGACATTTTAGAGATCATGATAAATAGAGATATATTTTTTAAAAAATAAATATGAAAAAGAATGCACTTGCATTTGGCAGACCTTTTGAAGTCAAATGCTGCATTTGACTTAAACGTTAACAAGTAGATACACCTGCTGATGGAATTCATCAATCAGGAAGGTGCTCATGTTCAAATGTCAACAATTAGATACACCTAATTTCTTGTTCCGCCATGAATGGCGGCAAGCTCAATTGTCAAGCTTATGGTCGGTCCATCCCATCACCGAGCCACGCTCAGTCTGTAAACGTCTCTGGTATTACAAACGAGTCACTTGGAAATCCGTGCCGTGGAAATTAGTGAAGACTCCATTCAATGCTCTTGAATGAAGGCTCAAGCATGTTTAATGTGAAGGTTGAAGCATGCATAGAGTAAGATTCACAGAATATAAATATATATACCTGCCAACCAGCTTCAATGCTGTTGAGGTCCGTGCCGTCGAATGATCCCGAGAGTATCCAAATCTGGGAGAGGCTGAACTCGTTTTCTACTTGGATGGAAGGATCCCATACGTTAATCGTAGCCTTTGCCCCGTACACCTCCTCGGTGTTCATAGTGTAAGCTATTGCATGCTGTATTCATAGACTCCATGAATATAAATAGCAGAAAAAACCATTAAAAAGACTTCCTTCGTGTAAAAAGTAGAAAGAGAAGGAAAGACAAAAACTAACTGTAATATCTGAATGCAGCAGCTATCGCTTGGAAGGAAAAAAAATCACTTGTATGCTTATGTGATGGAACAGCATTGCACGATAAAGAAATGTGGTCATGATAGCTTCCACCGGTGCATAATGAATGGCTTTGAGTTCATTCAATGCATGCGCCTGTGGATTTCCTTGATCGATCACCTTTTCTCATGGAAAGTAAAGTCTGAAATGTGAATTCTAAGGATCTAACTAAGAGAGAGAAGAGCATTTGCCATTTGAAATTACATGCAACAGCATTTACTACCATCACCCTCCCGTCCACCTGCCCATCCCACCCACATCTTTATTGCTGGCTTTGTTACCAAGAGATCAACGCCAACTTGATGAAAGATACACACATCTTAATTTATTTCACTTATGAATGTTGCTTCCATCCTGATTCATGTTGAGAGCGACACTACAGTAAAAGGTTATGGATGATATGGAACATGCAAGAATAGATGCTTCGTTGCCACTACATACCTCATGGCCATTGCCACTGGCCACATCTGGTGCATCAACTTTCCTAGCAAGAGGAACGCCGCCCAGATGCTTCTTGCCGAAGTGGAACAAAGATTTGGCTCTCAGGACATCATCGACGGAGCTCCTCCGTATTGGAACCGTCCCCTTTGGGCAATGACCGACGTGGTGCCATGCTTGCCATGCCCTTCGCGTTGCATCACTTGCATTGTAATTTATGGGAGTTCTGTCGCCCTTAAATCTTGGCCTCTGTGGGGCTGCCTTCTAACATTCATTATCCACCAATATTTTTATTGCGTATTACTTAGCATATAAAGCATTGAACGGAGAGGAGGCACGCACTAGTAATAAGCTGGAAAAGGAAACCTACCTGGATCTTGTGGTTCTTTAGAAGAGGATGGTCAAGAGCTGGTTGCTTGTGCCGGGGAACGCAGTCGATGATATCTCCATCCGGGCTCTGAGTGAGTTCATAAAAGAGTCATCAAAAGGGGGATGCAAGCTTGAGCAGGTCATGGGATCAACAATACTCCTCCACTAATTACCTCTATGGTTCTCACCGCAGGCTTGTTGATTTTGTCCAAGCGTCTCTCGATCCTTGCTAACTTAAGCGTCTCTACACGCCTATTGTTCGTGTAGTTGGAATCCGGGACGCACATGATCTCGTCGGCAGAGAAGAAGAAGAAGAAAAGGAGAAAAAGAGAAATAGCAAGACCGCGAAGAGAAGAAGACGACGACAACATGGTGGTGCCAGCAAAAGAGAGAACTCTCTCTCCTTCCTTCATCCTCTCAACCTCCATATGTTTTAGCGCCCAAATTAAAAACACTCTTGAGAGAGAGAGGATCCTTCAAGTCAGTGTTGGTGATGACGGAGAGATCACAAGGATCAGAACCCCATCCTTTACACCACCAGGAAGGCAAGAAATGGACAACTTTCCTACCCTCCACTTTGCGTTGCGTGAACCCCCTCTTTTTATTTCTCTGCAACTTTATGGATGAAAGCCCACCATGACCACCACCATCTCCATCGACTATCACTGTCTCCAGCAGGCGCACCAGTAAAAGAGAGGAAGGGGGGATGGAAACCGAAGAGGAGGATGTGGCTTGAAGGCAGCCTATAAAGGGCTTGACCTACCACGCTGTCTACCTCGATGACAACTTGAATGGGCTAACCTAACGGGCAGCCGTAAATTACCCACAAACAAGAGCATGCGGCTTGATTTACTTCCATCAGAGCTGTGTTCGGCTGTGGTCCTTGTTTTTACCTGCTTAGTTTATTATTGGGTCAGTAGGGCTTAAATTTGGAAGAGGAAGAAATTTGAGCTTTGAATTTCTTCTCAACACAAGATGGTTATGTTCAGTTTAATTTAAATAATTAAGATTAGATAAAATAAAAGATAAAGATTTAGATTTAAATAAATATATTAGGTTAAAAAGATTTAGTCAAGATATGATAGATTTTTTCATTATTTTAAAAAACTTATACACCATCTTTTAGTCCATATAAATAGGTGGTTTTGGATCAATCCAAAAGGTACTGCTCGCCTCTTCCCCTTGTAGTTCTATAGAAAAATCAATGGTGCGATATCATAGCCTAATTCAAAGAAAATCAATAAGAAGTATATTGAATTTTGGACCGTTAAAGATGATAACTCTATTTATTTTACATGGATTATAAAATTTGGTAGAATATGGTTTTGTTATTTACAGGATCCTAATATTACTAAACATCAAAGAAATCAAATAAATAAAAATATACAAAAAGATGTAAGAGCCCTCTACATGCTATAACTAAGCAATAGATGAATCTCTATTTCCTCAAATCATTATTGAATCTTGGATTTTGATAATGAAGTCAATTGTTATTTGATTATCTAATCCGTATGTTGAAATAAGTGTGCAGGATTAACTACGATGGTGGTAAGACATGCAGCAAGTTGTCACGGACTTAGCTGGTTTTACCTAAGTCGTGTGGCACCCTTGCGTGTCCGTCCACAAAGGTCAGCCTCCCCGAAGCCTCCCATATCTCTTAGGACCCACAAAAGAAAGAACGGGTTAGAGAAAACGTCTCATTCGGGATCTACAAGCAAACATTTCCGAAAACACTTCATAGACAATGCAAATTACAAACAAACTTTACAAGCTCTGAACAGTTGCACAACAAAGGGTAAAATGGTCCATTACAAACCGAGAATCTCTCACACGTGTCCATATGAAACAACCTTTATTTACAAGCCTAAAGCGGCCACCAACCTAACTAAAATGAGACTATTAAGCCTTCGGTCGTCCCTCTACATGTTGTACAAAGTATGAACACACCAAAAGACACGGACATACATAAGCATTACATCAAACATCCTGTTTAGAAGTTTGTCCGTGACATTCTCCCCCACTTATTCCTTCGACGTCCTTGTCGAAGCCTTTGTCGACACTGCAACTCCTCACCTTTGCTGAGTCTTCAATCTTCTGCTCCAGCTGCAATGTGCCTCTTGGCTCCCAACTGCTCTCCGCTGTTGTTTTTGAGTAGTCGAACCTTTAATCCACCATGCTGCTTCAACTCGTCAATGACACTGACTCTAGTTGGGGTTGCTTGAGTAGTGTTGATCCCTGTTGGTTCCTGCGGATCCTCCACATGAAGGAAAAGACCATCCTTACTATGTGCTAGTCTCTCAAATGCTCATGCTACTTGAACTAGGTGGATGCTTGTTGGAGCTTTAACGAGCATCATCTCGCAAACTTCTGAAGTTTTTGGGTCCTTCCTCCACAAAATTTACCCATTGACTCTTCTTTCACTTAGTTGTCACTTCCAAGTAGGTTCACATCACTTCCGCTTTCAATTGGCAATTCGTTGGGAAATGAAGCGGATAATCTACTCTCGGTAGCACTGATCACCGTTGGTGAGGATTTGACAACTATTGTCTTCCATTATCTTCGAAGGGTCTTGGAACATGTGCAGAGCTCCTCTACTGGATAGATAAGAGAATTTGGGTACTCGATTTCGCCCATTCTCTTAAGAGTTGAGAAGGTAAAGGTTACTTGACTTCGCTTGCCTCCTCGAGGTTGTACTCCATGCATCGAGTTGGTTACTGGCCTTCACCTGCTCATTGCTCACACTTCTGAAGCATTGAGTTAGTTACTGTGATTCACCTTCTCAATGCCATTGAACTTCTGGAATGCAGGAAGATTTCACCCCAACTTGGAGTGATTCTCTCATAGGTTTGTTCACCTTTAGGATTGTACCGTCTTCTCCATCAACCCTGCCGCCTACTCCACTGAGTAGCAAAGGTACAGCACCGCGTACTGTCTACTTCGTTCCTTGGTCATGCACTCTTGCTTGACCCAAAATCCTTCACTTTCGGCTATCTTGAGGATAAGCTCATTAACACCAGTCTTACGAAGTTCCTTGGCCTCTGCCCTTCAGCCTTGTCTTGGTACTTGGAGTTTGCCTCTGCATGCTCCACCTCCTCGGCCCCTTTCACGACCAAGCGCTCTCCCTCCATGAGAGTAAGGGATCAATGACTTTCACGGAAGTCACGCCTCTGTGGTACCATGGCGCTGCCATGCCCATGGCCCTACTATCCGTCGCCTCACATCTGCATCCTTTTTCTTCACAATCAGTAGATATGTCTCCGTGGCACTCCTCTGAGTCCACCTTCATTCTAATTGATGCTTGATTTTGGGTATCTAAGTCCCTTTGGACTCGTCGTCGCTTCCTCGCCCCTTTCGACCCCCTGCTTCAACACATTTGTGTTCTCCAAGCAGCTCCCTTTGGTCGATGGAAAGATAGACTATAACTCCCATGCATGGCCTCTGCCATCGTATTATAGGGTTTGCACCGATTCTGTTCTCCTTAGCTTCCTTGGTAGAGACGTTCGCTTACTCGACCTTGTCCTTTGACTTGCCGGGCTCCCTTAAGCGAATATGAGCTCTGGAGCAGTCCAACTCTCCAACTACTTCGATCATACCTCTGCATAATCAAGTCCCTCCCATAGGACTCACTGGTACTTGCATTCGAACTTTTCCCTTGGTTGAACATAGCCCCCATATGCTGATGACCAAGGCTTTCATCCGATGTAAAATTCGATGCACGCACGGAAGACCTGCCTTTGCGGTACCATGGCCTTCACTCCTTTAATACATAGCCCTTTTTGTCGTCATGTTGTTCACCGAAGTGAAGCTTCCAGTAGCTCCCGATCATACCTCCGTATGATCTAGTCCCTCACGGGACTATGTTGTGTGTATCGCATTGCCACGAACTGTTCCAACACAATCTGCTGCACCATGTCGCCTCCTGGTGACATCTCTATTGCATTCTGATCCTTGTGGGATGAACTCGAATTGTGAACCCTTCATGTGTGGCCTCTACCAATACATCGCAGGGTCTCTTCCACCTTTGATTTTGTTCGCTCCTTTGGCAATCGACCTTCATCCACCCACTCTTGGGTCACACCTAGATTAAGCACTGCTCTAGGACACTCCATCGCCTAGTAGCTCCCGAAGTCCCCCGATTTTGCTGCAATTAGTGCACCATTGTCTGGATCCTAGGCCTCTGCCCCTACCAGCACAATTTCCTCTATGCACCGCTTCATTCGTGGCAACTTGAATGGCAACACTGTGGCATATTCTTCAAGAGTACCCGCCTTCGCATCCTCTTGCCCCGTGCCAAGGCCTTCTAAACCCAACTTCGCCTCTGCAAATTGAGTCACCTCAGTTCCTCCATCAAATGCTTTTCCAAGATAAGATGCATGTGCCCAGAAGCTCCCTTCGTCTTTGACACCATGCAAGATGAGTCTGCTCCGTCAGAATGAAGGACCCATGGAACAACATGATCCTGCTCTTACCTTTGTAAGAGTTCATGTCCTTGACCTCTGTCCAAGGAAAGCACTGTGCCTCCGCTCCATGTTCCAACTTCTATGCTGGCTCCCTTTATGCGACTTGGGTACTTCGCCAAGTCACACCCAAGTTGCTCCGCTCCTCGTTTTTGCATTGAGTTGATGGTGGCATTCGCGCCCACCATTCCACGGGTCATCCCTCCCTTGAGTCCGATCTCCATATCGACTCCAAGTGTGTCTTCATTTGTGTTGGTTTGGGTCGCACCCCCACTTGATCTCGCAATGCATCCACCAATGCATTCTCTCGAGCGAGATCATGCGACGACTCCTCGCCGCTTGCATAGTCCATTGAGCTTCGTGGAGTTATTGTTTGTTAAGGTACTCCTCCTCAACATGTGAGGTCTGTCCCACATGATTCTCCCTTTGGAGAGCCGGGGCTTATCCCTCATGGATAACTATCCCGTTGGAGCAACACCACTTTTCGTTTCAGAGAACACCATCCCCTTGGACTACTCTAATCTGCTGAACAAATTATGCATTGTTCTACCTCCTACAAACGCACTTGCTAGATTGTGACTCCACGTCAATATAGCCCCCGCTGCACCACTCAAGGCCTAGCAATATGCTAAACTCGTTGCACACTTCAGCCTCCTACGGACGTATCCTTCACATGCCGAAGAGAAAGTTTCAATGCTCCATGGCGCCGAGTTTCGGTCGCCTTGGGATGGCCATGAACATTCCATCGTCCACATACAAGCCTATGCATGAGTACCAAATTCTTCGAGCTAGCAATTCCCCTCACCTCTTTGAGCTTTGCATAACTCTTTCGGTCGTTGAGCAACTCATTCCACCTTGTATGGTCTCATCCTTTACTAAGCGCCTCGCTTGCCTTGAGCACCATCAAGTATCGTTGTCAATGTTGAGTCGTAGCTCAAACTCAGCCATCTAAACCTTTGTGCGCTCTGTATTCTTCCAAGCTTGCCTGTTCCATCTAAGTCTGTCATGGACTTAGCTGGTTTTGCCTAAGTCATGCTGCACCCTTGCATGTCCGTACACAAAGGTCAGCCTCCCCGAAGCCTCCCATGTCCCTTAGGACCCATAAAAGAGAGAACGGGTTAGAGAAAATGCCTCATTCGGGATCCACAAGCAAACATTTCCGAAAACACTTCATAGACAATGCAAATTACAAACAGACTTTACAAGCTCTGAACAATTGCACAACAAAGGGTATAATGGTC